TTCTAAAAACTATAGATTCGGCCTCTAGATCGATAATAATGTCTATTGCAATAAGATTTTCCAAAAAATATTTAATGTACAGATTCGACTTAGAATTTTATACATGTATCTATAGATTAAATTATTACAATTTTTTACTGTACGTCACGAGTCTACTACCAGTTCGGAAAGAAGCCTTCAGTTCGTCAGACCTGAGAAGAACTGGCGAAATAAACTCAACAAATTAAAATAAACAATTAATAAATTGAATTTATTGTACCAAAAGTAAAGACACATACAAGCCAAAACAAACTGCCTACCAAAATATTTTCCCAAACATAAATAATTCGACGCCACATTCCACATTATTTTTATTTCAATGAATTTTCATTACGCGTTGAAAACTACTTATAATTATAAAACTCTCACACTAATTACTTTTCAACCCTACTTAATTAACTCGACTACAACTCATTTAAATAAAAAAAGAAAGCAAAAAATCCCGGCTTCCAAAGCATGAAAACGCATTCAACTGTCAAACGCTATTGTTCCAAATTTGAATTCAACACCTTTGTGCCAGTGTCACAGATAATTTATAACTGTCAAATAGTTATTCGGTTTGACGTGTTTATGTAAATACTTTTTTTTTATATCTAGCAGTGGTAATGGCTTAGTTGTGTATAAGTATAATACTGTTTTTAAGAATATGGTTGGTAACCCTAGTTACGCCTTCGTGCTGGAACGACTGGATAGATTATGATGAAATTTAAAACGTAGATAGTCTATGACGTGGTATAACATATCTATACAGATAAATAAAATTGAAGTGTATGTTTGTAATGTCATAATAACAGCTACTAAATGCATATGGATGTATACACAGTACATAGTACCTATACCAAAACAACATTTTTTACAATTTTTGTTTGTCTGTCTGCCTGCCTGTCTGTTTGCTCCGGCTAATCTCTGAAATAGCTAGACCGATTTTGACGGGATTTTCACTGACGGATAGCTGATGTAATAAGGAGTAACGTAGGCTACTTTTGTTTTAGTGAATAATATAGGGTGCCACGATTTTTTTTAAAAACCTACGAAAAATTTAATAATATCCGATTCAAATAGGGAAGTTGTATACATACCCTAGGAACGAACCCGAGCGAAGCGAGGTTGAGTCGCTGGTATGCCACTGTTAATAATAAAATTTGCCACAAGGTGGCGCTGCCTGTATAAAAATTAATATACAAAACACACCTGGTGAAGTTCACTCGGGTGTAAAGCGAGAGTAAAAACCACTGGTAAATTAATCAATATATCCCATACTCACCGACAGCATAATTTTAATAACTCAGTTATATCTGGACGATGGCTGAACAATGAAAAGAAGCTCAGACGGGTATTGAACCCGTTATATGCTTTCAATCACTTGACCTTATAATGGGGCTGATTAATTTATGACTTTATGATGTCATTGTATTGACTTCTGTCTGAATATAAAAACTGAAACGATAGAGACCTAAAATTCGCTCAGGCCTTTTAAACTCTAAACTAGGTCCCTAGTGGTCTAGATCTAGATAAACTATATTTTAAACTTAAATCTAAGATAAAAGTTAGATATATATAATAGTTTTTTTCTGTAGAATTCTTTTAAATCTACATATTTGTCATACATTGTTTTGACTTTTCAAGATCCGTTTAGACAGCGCATGTAAGTTCGGTGTATTTTTCCCACTGGCTAGATAAAAAGCGTGATAGATAAGCTAAAACTGTATCGTATTCAGGCCTTTTTAACGTCCCACTACTGAGCACGAGCCTCCCAATACGACTGGGATTGGGCCATAGTCCACCACGCTGGCCAATTTTGTTTTGATTCTAACAATATATATTAATCTTACTTAATATTATAAATGTGAAAGTTTAGTTGTTTAGATATTCAATCCGCCAGAACGGTTGAAAGGATCTTGATGAAATTTGGCTGCTGGGCAGGCACTGCTGGACTGATAATAACTAAACATAGCTAAGAACCACCGGAAGGAAACTGGCTTTCAAATGAAAAAAAACCGCATTGAAATCGGCCCATCCGTTTGAGAGCTACGATGCCACAGACAGACAGACACACACACACACACACAGACAGACAGACAGCGATGAAAAAAAACAGTTCAGTACATTTTCCTCAAAATAGGCAAAAACAAAACTCATATGCCATCAATTACTGAGTTATCCAAAACTTATCTAATGAACAGACATAAAATTGACTTTTATTACCTACGAGTATACATTAAGATTTATTCATGTCAAATTTGACTAATTGTAAGAATAGCTCGAGCATTATGAAATAACAAATCTATACAGAAAAATAAAATTGAATTGTCTGTGTGTAATATCAAAATAACATATTTTTAACTAAACGCATATTATGAACTTATATACGGTACTAATAAGAAAAACACTATTTTTTTTGTTTGTCTGTCTGTTTGTTCCGGCTGATCTCCGAAACGGCTGGACTAATTTTGACGGAACTTTCACTGGCAGATAGCTGATGTTATAAGGAGTAACTTAGGTACTTTTATTTTAGTAAAAGTATTAGGGTTCCGCTCAAAAAATTAAAATATACGCAACCGAGCAATACGAGATTAAGTGGCTAGTAAAACAAAAATAATTTCGAAACGCATACAAACATCGAACTCGTGACCTGCAATACAATATACTATTATTTTGAGTTCCGTATATATACAAATAAATCCTAAATATCTCGGTCATACACATTAAAGAGCGATAACCTGTAAGTGCGTTATCTTAGATGTTTCTGTGCTTTATCATAATCGTTGCAGGCGCTGCCATAACTTATTTTCAGCTCTGTTAAAATTATTTTTTAGTTATATTACTCAATTTGAATATTAAAAGGCTTTTAAAGATTTTTGTAGTTTATGGTATAGGAATGATTAATGATGGCAGTATTATAGCTCACACTAGCGACTCACCCTCGCTCCGCTCGGGTTAGTCCCTAGTTACGTTTTAACGTTTAGTATAGATTTCTCAGAGATGATATATTTTCCCGCTGTAAAAAGTATCTTTATATTGAACAGGATACCCAGCTATCATCACACTAAATTTCATCGAAATCTATTCAGTGGTTTTCTCGTGATGCAGTCACAGATAGACAGACAGACAGACAAAAATTCTAAAAACTATAGATTCAGCCTCTGTATCGATAATAATGACTATTTCAATAAGATTTTCTAAAAAAAATTAATGTACAAATTCGACTCAGTTAGAATTTTATTATATGTATAGATGTCAAATATTCGCGTTAATCTTAGAAAGTATTTAAAACAATTAAGTTTTTTAAAACAGCGCTGAATTTAATTACTTTTTGCCTCTTATGCCTACATACATCTATACATATAATAAAATTGTAACTAAGTCGAATCTGTATATTAAATATTTTTTGGAAAATCTTATTGAAATAGACATTATTATCGATACAGAGGCCGAATCTATAGTTTTTAGAATTTTTGTCTATCTGTCTGTCTGTCTGTTACCGCATCTCAGAAAAACTACTGTAGGGATTTTGATGAAATTTGGTATGATGATAGCTGGTTATTCGGGTCAACATATAGGATACCTTTTACCGCGGGAAAATCATTATATTATATCATTTCTGAGAAAAAATACAAAAACTGCAATATAAGAGTATACTAATATGTAAAACCTAAGAATTTGGTTTTTGGTCATCTGAACGCGGGCGGAGCCGCGGGCAGTGCTAGTGTAAAATATTGAGTGACTAAGCTGTAGATATTGTATAGGTTGTGGCACAATTAAATTTAGACCGGAAATGTTTCAGTTATTGAATACTTAGTGGCTTTTAGTGTAACGTTCAGATATTACTGCAGTTAAAATTAACTGTTGTTTTGACTTAACTTTAATTTGTACTTTAACTATTATTAGTTAAAATAAGGTATTTTAACGTATAAACGTGATTGTATGTATGTACTTGACGTTTGGCTCAGTTTGTAGTGATTACTTGCTGTGCCAGCGGTCGCGGGTTCGAGTCCTGCTGGGGGCATTCATATGTGTGATGAGCACGAATGTTTGTACTCCAGTTATGGGTGTTTATATTTATAATATGTATGTATTTAAAGTTATATATGTGTAGTGTATCAACTATCTGGTATCCATAACACAAGTCTCGTAGCTTACCATGGAACTAGATGGTGCTGTGTGTTAATGTCCTAACATACATATTTATTTATATTGTGTCCATGTTTGCTACTCTTTTACGTTGAAACGGCTAAACGGATTTTGATTAAATTTAGTTAGTAGCTTAACAGCAATCTGTCTCTCCCGTGACCATGATTTCTGTAAAACATCGCAACATCGGGTACCAAAAAACAAAATAAATCCGCGAAAAAAACTGAAAGACAACAAACATAGTTCATTTAAAACGTCAAATCTACTGTAAATCTAAAAAAGTACATTGTACTAGCATTGCTCGCGGCTCCGCCCGCGTTCAGATGACCAAAAACCAAATAAAATAGCGCTATTGTTATTTTTTTTCAAGATAAGCTATTTTCAATAGTTTTTGCCTTATTTAATATGTTACCTTGCTAAAATATATGTAGTATCATCGTGGTTTTATTCTAACCAGTTTTTGTATTTTTTCTCAGAAATGAGATATTTTCCTGCGGTAAAAAGTATTCTATATGTTGACCCGGATAACCAACTATGACCATACTAAATTTCATAAAAATCCCTCCAGTGGTTTTGCTGTGATGCGGTAACAGACAGACAGACAGACAGACAGACAGACAGGCAGACAGACAGACAAAAATTCTAAAAACTATAGATTCGGACTCTGTATCGATAATAATGTGTATTTCAATAAGATTTTCCAAAAAATATTTAATGTACTGATTCGGCTTAGAATTTTATTTTATGTATAGATTAATTTTCTGTGCCCAAGTATATATATACTAAAATAGTAATTTTCCATTATTACAGATGACTTAGCTTCGATAATCATGCGGAGAGCAATATTTCTGCTGTTCATCCTCTTGTTGGGGGTGGCCATAGCTTGCCCCTGGGCGTGCTCGTGCCGACCAAACGCTGCCGATTGTGCACATAGAGCTTTACTGCATGCTCCACGACGACTGCCTACAGATTCTCATCGGCTGTAAGTAATTTATTAAAACTTATATATAAAAATCGATGTGTATGTATGTTGTATTGTTCAAAACGGCTGGAGCGATTTTGATGAAATCACGTAATTTTCAGATTAGTCCAGCGGCTGATCGTGTGAAGTTAGGTAGCGATCGGAAATTTAAACGCGGGCGAAACCGCTGGTACTGCTAGCAATGAGCAATTCTTGTAATGTATGTACATATATACATATAAATTTATTTCGTGTATCACGGAAACGGCTCTAACGATTTGGATCACATTTTGTATTAAGATAAGGTGTTGCTTTTTAAGTCTTTGTCGTTCTGAAAGAACACAATTTTTAGCTTTTTTCCGACAAACTTCGAGCGAAGATCGCCCAGGTACTATTATTCACTAGACTAGAGAGTTCCGATTCTTAATTCTATACGAAATTGGCGAAGTAAACTGTGCCCAAATGCCACCATTATAAGCCACAGAACAAAAAATTGAATTGACTTAAATCCTTAGTAACCTATGCGTTACTCCAAGTCTTAGCCTATCTATGTGCTAAATTTCATCAAAATCCGCCCAGCCGTTACACAATCAGACTTTCGCAACCATAATGATAGCCTAAAAAGATGAAGCAAAGTCATGAAACGTACCTAGTTTGAAACAAAATAACCCAGGAAGCCATAGGTAGCCCATCAGGGAGTTTCCTATTAGTATTTACGATGCATTACAATGTAGGGTAGAATTTTGATATTGGGGTGAAATGGAAGCGGTGAAACTGCAGAGTTTGTGAATGATAATAAATTTTATCGTCTGATGTAGAATCTGTTTGGGGTTAGTCGTTCGAAAAATGACCTGAATAATGTAATAGACATGATAATATAACGGAAAGTAGTTATAATTGATAATTTGTATGTATTTGTTCTATTACAGCAAGTAGATAAATCCATACTAATATTGTAAATGTGAAAGTGTGTTTGTTTGTTTGTCTTTCTTTCAAGTCGAAACGGAGTGACGGATTGGCGTGATTTTTTGTGTGGAGATAGTTGGAGGGCTGGAGAGTGACATAGGCTACTTTTTACCGCGTGAGATTATCTCATTCCCACGGGAAAACACGTTATATTACAATCTAAAAAAATATTTATGATCAGAATTACTTGAGACTTGGCATTAATGCTCTTCAATCAAATTAAATAAATACGTGTTTTAGCATTTTTCGAAATTCATTCTATAAGGGGGTAAAATAAGGGATAAAAGTTTGTATGAAACTACCTTTTTAGAGATTCCCGACATTTCGAATGCTTTACAGCAACAACAATCACTTGATGATGTCCAAAAAAATGAAAATAAGCAATAAAATCTAAAAAAACGTTTTTTCAAATATATATATATATATATATATATATATATATATATATATATATATATATATATCATAATTTATTCAAATTTTTAAATTGATTTTTGATACTTTAACGAAAATATTTTACATTTTATATTTTAGAGGTGGCACGTATTTTCAGCTAACATTTAAAATAAATATTATATATAATTTAAGAATTAAAATTTTAAATAATGGAGGTGAATATCAGATTAAGAGGTTTTTTTGAAATTTCTTAATTATTGATAGTTTTTGAATTATTAGCAAAAACCAAATACCCTCTTTTTTCATCTTTATTTACTTATAACTTTTACTATTTTTTACATATTTTTTTTGTTTAAACACATTTTTCTAAACGTTATTCCGGATCCAATGCGCTATCGCACTTATTTTTAGAAGCTTTATCTCCAATTTTCACAATTTCAACTTGTGACTAGACTGCCAGTTTATAAACAAAAATCCTCAGTCCTGAGAAGTTTCGCAGTAAAAAGTATCCTATATGTTGACGTGGGATAACCAGTTATCCTCATACCAAATTTCATCAAAATCTATTCAGTGGTTTTTCAGTGATGCGGTAACAGACAGACAGACAGACAGACAAAGAATCTAAAAACTATAAATTCGGCCTCTGTATCGATAATAATATTTATTTCAATAAGATTTTCCAAAAAATATTTAATGTACAGATTCGGCTCAGTTACAATTTTATTATATGTTTTAATATATATTTAAAACTGTAATTAATATAAACTTTACAGTAAAGTCAAGTACCACCACGATATGAATTTTATTAAAAAACCTATATATTAGCTATAGAAAAACAGGAAACTTTGGAAAAATATCTATAGCATTTGTAGGGTGAAAGGACTTCGCTACGATCGCTTTTATGGCGTATTATGTTATGGGGCGAGTATAGAAACGTCATAGACTACTTGCTTATAGAAAAATCTATTTTCCCATGCTTTTATATTTTCTTTGTTCATATATACCGTATATATATACATATATATATATATATATAACATATATATATATAACATATATATATATATATATATATATATATATATATATATATATATAGATACACAATTAATCTCTCAAAAGTGTCCTGGAAATGAAGTGCACAATTCGAAATTATGCGCTCTTTTTTAACCCCCCACGCAAAAAGGGGGTGTTATAAGTTTGACGTCCACGTCTGTCTGTGTGTGTGTGTCTGTCTGTGGTATCGTAGCTTTCAAACGGATGGACCGATTTCGATGCGTTTTTTTGCATTTGAAAGCCAGTTTCCTTGCGGTGATTATTAGCTGTTTGGTTAATATTGATCCAGCAGTGTAAGAGTATCAGCCCTTTTCCAAAATGACGTAAGGCATTTTGGCGTATGATTACTCGATTAAGTGCTTCACGCGTGCCAGTGTAATCGTTAAATGACAATTAATTTGCGTAGTATTTCCGCGGCTACGCTCACGTATTACTAATATAATACAATATCCTTGTAAATCATAGTCTATGTGTTACTTTGATAAATAAGATACGTATATTAAGTACATACTATTAAGTTTCATCAAAATCCGTTAAGCAATACTTTCTTAGATTTACGCGAATATTTGACATTTTAAATAAAACTATCTTTTCGGATTTTTGTACTGTATATTATTGCGGGTGGTTGCTAAATTTGTTTGTTGGCAGACTACTCTCTACCCAATAAATATTTAAAAAATAAAAAAATATTAATATTTATTCATAGAAGTAATTAAACACATATATTAAAAAAAAATTTAAAATTATAATTTAAAAATATTGTACTTTGTTGCTAATTTTGTATTTCTTTTAAATAATTGTACAATTTTGTAAATAGATACCGTCTGTAAATCATTCAAAACGTCGGAAACCAAAAATCTAATTAAACCGAAAAAAAAGTTTTATTTAAAATACACTCTTTCTTGTTCTTTATATAACACTAGCGACTCACGCCCGTCTCGTCCCTAGGTACGTTTTAATCTTTTTGAGCGGAACCCTAATTCTTTTTCTAAAATAAAAGTAGCCTACGTTACTCCCTATAACATCAGCTATCTTCCAGTGAACGTCCCGTCAAAATCAGTCCAGCCGTTTCAAAGAATATCAGGAACAAACTGACAGAGAGACAAAAATTTGTAAAAAAATTGTTTTCTTATAAGTACCGTATATAATTTCATAATATGCATTTAGTAAAACGCTGTTATTTTGAGATTACAAACGGACACTTCTATTTTTTTATGTGTATAGATTCGAGTAAAGCCTGGTTCAGTCACTAGGTTATATTTACAATTAGTTCGAATTCTCTGTTATAATCACTCTATACGTCTCATACTCAGCTCAATAAACTAGGGGCGTGTAATACACTGTACGCAATAACTTTGGACAGTCGCAAACAAAAGTTTTATTATTTAAAAATAATTTACTTAGACACAGACAACATTACTTTGTGTATTTGTTTGTTTGTATTCTTGTTGAATCATGTTTTTTTTAATTATATCGAAAAATCGACGACACGCTTGGCTCAGTTTGTTGCTTTGCCAGCGGTTGCGGGTTCGAATCCCGCTGGGGGCATCCATTAGTGTGAAATGTATAAATAAAATGTATAAAATAAATGAAAGATTCCATTACTCCAGTCATGGGTGTTTATATTTATAATATGTATGTATTTAAAGTTATATATATGTAGTGTATCAACTATCTGGTATCCATAACACAAGCTTCGTAGCTTACCATGGAACTAGATGGTGTTGTGTGTTAATGTCCCAACAAATATCTTAGATTTTTGACTAGATTGTGCTCAAGTCATCATTTTAACTGATTATGCTTTAGTAATAAATTTTAAAGTCTTACAAAACTTCTAATCTATATTACTCATACAAATATATGTAGATTTTCTATATCATATTTATGTATGTCTGTCCTTTTTACTGAAACTGTAAAAAATACTATCAGAAGAAAAACCCAATCACGTCTACATATAAGAAATTCTTAGGCATAGGTAATTTTTAACTGGCACGCTTTGAAGCCATTAACAAGAAAATTTAATAGTGACTTAACGTTTGAAGGATTTCATTACTTCTTTCTCTCTATATCTCAAGTCCCATACTCTATCTCAATTTTTGAAATTAAAAAAAATATATAAAAAAATGTATTTAGTTTTCAAACGAATTGTCTCATCGAATGTACTCAATATTGCGACTTAAACAAACGTCTGTGGGCGTTTCAATATACCAATAATGTATGGAAATCATATTATTGGTCTCAATATGTGTAAAATATTTTATATATACAAGAGTACGTGCGAGCTGAGTGGTAATGCGCTGGCTTGGAAAACCAAGTGAACCGGGTTCAAACCCATGCTCTCGTACCTCTGATATTCTCAGGTGGAATCATTTCCAATATGATAACCTCTGGTCTTACGGTAAAGGAATGAGTCGTCAGAGTACCTTCAAGTCTATTTTCTGAGTTGCAAGTTCCAGGAAGACGAAGAAATAAGAATACGATACTTATTAATGTTTTGAAGTGAAACTTCTTTAGAATCGTTGTGATTTGAAACTCGATGAAACGAAAACGCGACACTAGAAAGAGACAAAAACATAAATATATAGGATTAAGCCGGCGACAGA